ACCCCTACCTTTTGGAACTCAACAGGGTCGGACTTTAGAAATTCCCCCCCAAGCCTCAAATCTACTACTTGCTCACCTGAAAACCTCTTACTTTGAAGAACTCCAAGCCAAACTTCTAGACCTCTACATAAGACAGATCTTGTGTGTTCCGCAGAGCCTGAGGTTTTCCTGGCAATTTCTGGTTGACGCGGTCCACGGAGAGTCTCTGGCACCAGAGCTGAACCACTCCTCCTCTCATCCTGGGACTTTACATCGACCAAAGTCATATATAGGGATATACAAGGATACATAGGGATAATGGACAAGAAAATGGAAGCTACTATTTAGGGTTTGGGGTTTAGGGATAGAAGTTAGGTTCCAAGATTGGTATTTGTGGGTTTGCTTACCGGTTCTTAGTAGGGAATATGGGAATGTATTAGATAGGGGTTATATAAGGAAATATTACACCACAGGACCCCATGTCAAGATACTTGCAAGGAACCCCTCCTAAACCCTAAGCCCTAAACCCTAAGCTCAATTACGATGCATTCTCCATAATCAGACCATAGGCGCTGAGCAGCCTCCTTTCAGGGTTTAGGGTTTAGGGTTTCCTAAAGGGTCCATGTAGCTACATAGTATTTGCTTGGGCCCTGTAGCAGTTATATGGGAACCCCTTTGGGCCATAAGTAGATACGATATACCTGCCCTAAACCTTAAACCCTAAACCCTACACTATATATACTATATAGCTACATGGGCCCTTTGGGTTTTCAGCCTCACAGGGTCCCCCGCGACATATCAGCGATCCAGCAGCAGAACCTGCCCACATCCATGCCTAGGGCTCCTCATTCTCTCGGTTCTCATAACTCATTTTTCTGACACCTGCTGAAGATCCATACCCGCTAGTATGAATGCCATTTGTGGACGTGGAGTAGCTCGAAGTGCCGGTCATGCGAGCGACAATCCACGAGTTAAAGCAGTGCGCTCTAAGCTATTCATCTATGAGCCGGAACCTCCTAAGCCAAAGATTGAGATCTTTGAGCCTGGGGTTGTGGTCTTTCAAACAAGGTGAATTTGTAAGCTCCTGGAAACAAGTGGCCTTCCGCATTTTCCTGGGTAAAGCCGGGACCCTTGCTATCACACGTAATGTAGTGGCTGAAGTAATCACCAATATCATGTTACGGTCTGTTTGTATGGTAGTGAGGTATCTTATACCATCCAAGGAATCTAGGACCATAAGTTTGGTAATTCTTTTGGCTTTACATTAATTCTGGCTGAGTTCTGTCCAAGGTATTTTCACCTCATCGCGGTGGCAATCAGGGAGGTGAGGGCGTGAACTACGGCGGGCAGTGGTGGATTCTGCGCCATACATTCCAAGACCTTCCCAGTACCCTCAACTGGAGATAAGAAGTCCCTTAGAGTGGGCACTATAGAGAGTAGTTGGATGGTCTGGGCAAACAACATTTTACATTTTTTGTGTTGCCAATCGAGGGAACAAAGACAGAGCACTTGATATGACTAGACCAACAACCAGCCAGGATTGAGAACGTCCTGGAGGAGCTGGGTTCGTTCTGTTTGTGGACCTAAAAGCATGAACGATCCTAGCACTTGCCTTTCAGATGTACCAGCCTCCTTCTTTTGGGGCGTTTCAATTATAGATGCGAAGAAATGGCAGCTGCTTCACAATGTGCTGATGGAAGGAGTGCGATGCTCCCAACGAGTTCTTCTATGATCGCCGCAGTCAGTCTTTGTACTTCTCCTTCAACGGCACAGACACAGTCCCAGACGGCACAGAGCAGTGGGTCTTGCCTGTAACCCAGGTCTTATTCAACATCACCAGCTCGCACAGCAGCATTCGTGGTCTTGAAGTGCGCGACTCCATGATCACCTACCTGGAACCGCATGGCCTGCCCTCAGGCTCATGCTTTTGCTGGAGAAAGCATGCATGTGACCCTCCGGTTAGGAGAGTTGCTGTTTGCTTCCCCATGCTAAATTGGAAAGGGGGCAAGGCTTTTAAAGCACAAAGAGGGGATTGGGCCAGAGATTCGTTCCCAATTATGGATGGGGTGCAGTTTGTTCAGGGTGCTGCAGCGTCCTCGCTCTTACAGGCCAGGATGCAGGATTCAGTTTTGATAATTAACTAGCAATGCTAGGGCATTTGAGGCAACTATAGTCCCCGTTAAGTATATAGAACATTGGGTTTATGGGGATCTTATGATAATATACCCAAAGCCATATTCTATCTACTCAAGGGGGATTGTCCTAAACCCGAAATAGTAGTTTCCCTAATCTTTTCCAGTATTACAGAATATTCCCAATATAAGCCTAGTTTACCAACTTACACTATAAATGGGCTTGTATCAGCCAACTCCCGTTGCTAGTGCAAAGAGCTCTTCAAAGTGGTAAGTCTGTGGTTTAGCAATGCAACAAAAAGTGCAGTAAAGGTAGTATTAATAGTAGCAATAGTGAAAACAGTAGTCATAAGAATGACAGCAATAGTAACCATAATGGTAATAAACCCTAAACCCTAATAGCTTGCCATAGCAGATCCGAGACTGCACAATTGGATGGAAGAATGCCGTTCATGTGTCTTCTCCACGTGGAGACACCCTGGTCCCATATTGCCCTGCACAACCGCAAACTCTAAGCCCTTAATACCCTTAACCCGCAACCTCCTACATCACCAACACTGAAACTGCAGGCTCTATGTACTACAGGACTTTCTTTGTGGCTAAGCATCTTTACAACATTTTTAAACTGAACCTTCAGGGGGCGACTGGGCCCTGGAACGCCTGGCTGCCATTATCCTCCGTGACTTGTGCTGAAGGGAGACGAGAAGGGTGGAATGCAAATGCCACAGCCCAGGCTTGTTTTAGGGTTTAGGGTTTCAAGGGTTTAGGGTTTAGGGTTTTTAGGGTTTAGGGCTTAGGGTTTTAGGGTTAGTTTTGCGGCTTAGGGTTTAGGGTTTCAGGTCATATGAGCTATAGTCTAAATTCCTGAAAGGGGGGTTGTATAGGGGGTTATATAGGGGACTTCTATAGGGGGTTACTAAGGGGGATACTAGGAGTTTAGACTATAGCTCATATATATTCTCCCCGAAGATGGAGAATCAAATGGAAAAGAACATGAAACTGGGATTATTGTGGGGGTAGGGTTTTGGGCGTCGGGCGGAGGGTAGGTAGACTAGTGCAAGCTTACGGTGTGGAGTGGAGGAGGGAACGTGGGACTTACTGACAGTATAGGAACCCTACACCCTAAACCCCAATATCGTCGTTTCCATTCTCTTTGCCATTATCCCCCTATAACCCCGACACATACCTGCCGCTCCACCTGAAGCACTACAAAGGTGATGCCTCCAACATCACTGTGGCCGACAACTTGTTGACCAAGCTGGATGGGCTGCTAGGCTTAAGGCTTACCTGCGCTATAGAGGGGTTATAGTGGGATAATGGAAAAATGGAAGGTATTACTTGGGGTTAAGGGCTTAGGGTTTTGGATAGCCCCTTAGATACATAGAATATGGCCTTAGGTATATTATAAGAAGATCCCCATATACCCCCTTTTCTATCTACTTAAGGTGGACTACGAGGCTTACCTGCAACCCAAATAAAATGCAGCGCTACGGGCTGTACCGACTACCTACTCAGTGGGGGAAATCATTTGCTGTAGAGAATTGAGGTTACGTGTATGGTTTGTGTGCGTACTTCTTAAAGCTGGAGCCTATATTCCCCAACATAACAGGAGCGTAACTAGGGGGATCCCCTAAAAAAGGGGTACGTAGCTTTGAGAAAGGCCACGTGGAGTTCGGGAGCTTTTCAATTCTTTGGCCAAAGACAAGGCTCTTGGGATCACACACCAACATCAGGATCCTGACCAACATTTCAGGTTAGTCGGGTCCGCAATTCAAGCAGCATCGAAGGTACGAGTGTCATGAATTAATTGTATGATATACTATATGATGCCAAGTGGGGATGCATATTAGGCTTAATCCTCCCTTAGAATGCCTTCGCCAGCAAGAATCCTGACAGGAAGCATCAAGGCCTGAGCCCTTCGGTTTCTTATCTTTCTGCTTTACTTGTGAAGCGTAGCTTGCAATCCAAAAGGCTGGGACATTCGAAGTAAAGGTCCCGATGCTCAGAACCCTAAACCCTAAACACTAACCCCGACACCCTAAGCCGCTTAATGTACCATTCAGGACCTTCTGCCAAACCTAGGAATGGTATCTTCTTAGATGGAGCCGTGAAAAATGCCAGCCTACTTCATAACGAGTTCTCCTACATCGGGAGCTCCGCAATGGCTGCGTGGGGCTACACTGGAGATTGCCTCAATGAGAACTGCTCACTGCACCTTGGCATCTCCACAGCTACATGGAACTGTATAGGGTCTATATGGTAACTATAACAATTTTTATGGAACTGTGTAGGGTATGTATATATATATATATGTGGAGATGTATGTTGGGTTATGTATTGGGATTTATAGGGTTTAGGGCAATTCTACCCCAATTGTAACTGGTACTTAGGACCCAAGTATAAGCCCTCTTCTTAATTGGGTTATAGCGCCGTGTGTAATTCGGTTAACACTGACCCTGAACCTCCAATTGGGCTTGGAGAGACCCAACTTATGGCCTGGTGCTATTCCACACTGGGCAGTCACTGGTACAGTTAACTCTAAGGCTCGAAAGCTTATCCAGCTTATCTAGCTTCACAGATGGCTTTGTCTTGGCAAGGTTGCAAGAATTGGATCACTCTACGCAATCTTGCCATTTCCTAGACTACGTTTTGCTATCGCTATTATTCTTATTTTCGAGATTGTTGCCACAGAAGGCCTTGCAAAGGAGCCCAAATTTTGACAGGCCAAGGCTCAAGATTTGCAACTAACCGGTGCTTAGTAAGGAATAAGAGATTATCTTCCCTTCTTCCCCACTAACGCCACTAAGGCCATGGGCTTGGCCCTAAAACCTGCACTTCCATCCCGACCTCTTCTTATAATCCCACTCAACGTGGTCCCAAACAAGCATTCCATGCTCTAGGGCTCCAAGTATACAAGTACGAGCTACATTAGGCCCGAAAGCCAGTAAAAATACCTGCATGGGCTATTTGAATCACTAGGTTATTTTGAAGTCCCAAATTACGCATCATAGTGTCTGGAGTGCATACGAGGACCGCGGCTGGAGCTTTTCTGGCGTGTTTACTACAGGACCCCCAGATTACGTGTCCATGCGAGGGGGCCCTTACTCGGAATCAAGCCCTCAACTCTAAACCGAGTTTCCTGTAGATACCTTTTCCTGACTTATTAACTTCTGCTCGATGCTCTGCTTAGTCCAAATTGGGGGATGGGATGCGGGATTCAAAATGCAGCATTTAGGGCCTGTAGGGTTTAGGCTATGGGGCTTTAGCATATGGTTTGTATTAGGGTCAATGGAGGGCCGTTTATGTAGGATCATTCTTTGCCGGTGTTACTGTTAACCCTAAACCCTAAACCCCTAGCCTGCGTGAGCAACACCGAGCTCCTGAAGCGACCCGGGCATGGAAGACGTTTCTTGTTCAACGAGCTCAAGACGGTTTAGGGTCTAGGGTTTAGGGTTGGGATTTCCCAGCAGGAGGGGTATTTCTGGGAGATTCCCAAAAAATATCATGATTATAATATTGGGGGTCTATATTGGGTTCCCCCGGTTGGCTTTGCGTTGATAAATCCCCCAGGAATACTACAATTGTGGGTATTGTTATAATTAGTTGTGTTCCAGTGGCGGGATTTTATAACTGTGGGTCGAGTCCCTAATGTGAAGTTAACACTTTTCAGGGAATCCACCAAAATCTAGGCCTGTGATGAATTCTCTCTGTGGACGGACCTCCATATTGGGATCCCGGATGGAGCAGGTAGAGCGGGATAGAAATGAGAGATATAGATCAGGGGGGTCTGTTTTATCATTTTGAATCCCTAAGCCCTGAACATCTACCTGGACCTCCCGAATTAGACACCAAATAAAAACCTGCCCTTAACTTAACCCCCCAAATACTGGGTATATGTATATGAATCTTATGGGTGTGTGCGGTTGGTCTCAGTCAGCTCCAAGCCTGAAGCACCTGAAAGGGTTTAGGGTACTCTTAACCAAAACCCTAGACCCAAACCACTGAGGAAGCTGCCGACGGGCTCCGGCATGGGCCCGGACGGTCGTAGCATGCGCGTGCCATGGGGCACTCAGGCGCCATTCCTAAACATAGGGTTGGCATTTTTGTTGAGCAAAACACTCTTGTTTTTAAATCTTTGGGTGAGGAGGACTAGAGTAGGTCGAGGGCCTAAGAGGAAACCCTAGCTTCGAGGCATACCGTCATGATTCTCAGGCTTTGGGGTTCTTGAGGCCCCGCAAGACGTCCAGAAAAACAAGTGTTGTTTGTACTAAAGTTGCTGCAAGCAAAGTCCCGGAACAGACCTTTTGGTAAGTATTGCCACACTTCCAGGAAGGTGGAGATGAGAAAGCTTTCGTCTCAAATTCTGCCTGACTCATGCAGAACACATAGGAGGTTCTCAAAACACGTCCTGCATAATCTTTACATTAAAATCACACACTTGGGGGTTCTTATGCTACGAATCTCTATTGGGTTTTTTGGGCAGTATATGACACCTGTATACTTTGGACCTTTATAGGGTTAGGGAGACCCCAACCATCTTGGTGCGAGCGCATAGGTCGCCCTGTTGCTTCTATACGTAAAAAGTGACACGAAACCTAGATTTTTGCGCGATTTGGAGGAAAAGCATGGTAGTTGGACATCCAGCAAACTAGGGCATTCAGGAGAAGATTCCACTTTTGTTACGCTGTGTTTCGGTTTCTGAATTGAGTTCGATAACCCGGAATCCGCAACCCGCAACCCGTAGAGAAACAATAAACGCTGTAAATATTGGTGTTTGGGGCATGGTCGCCAAAGGCATGGACGCTTGTGACAACTTGTCTTGTTCCACATCCTTTGCGCAGTGTGTTCTACCAAGAGGCGAAAACACTGTAACAAAAACAGTGTTCTGGGCATGGTCGCCAAAGGCATGGACGCTTGTGACAACTTATCTTGCGCAGTGTGTTGTACCAAGGGGCGGAAACACTGTAAATACCAGTGCTTTGGGCATGGACCCAATATGAATGAATGACATTCTTATCCCCCCCAACCCCCCCCCCTTTCCCCCCCCCCCGACAGCCGAACAACACCTGAAAAAGCCTTTCGAAAGGTTTAGAAAACTCAAAAGACACAGGGCGATTTCTGCGCCCGCCACCAGCTATTCCCAACTTTTTCCGCTCGATCCTTATATCATATCCCAGAACATCCCTGTTCAAGGGCAAGCAGGCCAAGCGAATTGATCTGAGCTTTTAAGATTTCCTGCTTTGTCTGTGTGTCTTCAATTGTATATAGGGCTATTCTATATCAAAATTTGTTCTGAAACCCACTTATTGCAACCCCGATCTAGCTTCAAAATGCAGCCCGGATCCAGGAGGGTCCAACTGCATACACAGTACGTGTTTGGCCGGTATGCTTTCCTGTTTAAAGAATTTGGCGCCTGAGTTTATGAAATATGGGAGCTTGGACCGGATGGCAGTCCATTTTGTTCGCAATGGTCTTTGGGGGTGCTCTGCTAGCATTCTCAGGTGATAATGCCTGGGCAGTCATTCCTGAGTTAGATGCCTGCTTAAGGACGTAAATTAAACACTGAACCCTATATACACTTGAAGCCTGCTACGCTAAACCTACCAAAATTTGCCCTATCTGTCGTTGAGGGTCCGAGAACCTTAGCATGATGGTTTTAAGTGCCAAATACCACAATCCCTTTTTTTGGCACCTGAAACTCCTTGGGCCCTTAGTTAGGGCAAAGTAGACGTGAACCCTAAATTTAAGCCCTTGCCTGCACACAGGTAAAGTCCAATCTGGTTCGAGAGATTGGGCGCCTGCCTTAGCAAGCAGGAAGTGCAGACCCACATGGTTTAGGGGTTCAGGGTTTAGGATTTAGAGTTTAGGCTTTAGGGACTGTGGACCCAAGGCTTCTTCTTACTGGTTGTTAGTAGTGAAACAAGCAATGGAATTGCACAAGAACATCGAAAGTATTGTATAGGGACTATTATAGGGATACATGCCTCATTCCCTGCTAACTACTAGTAGGTCTTGAAGCCTACACCTTCCTTGTAGTCAGTAGGCAATGAGGCACGTATCACTGCAGCAGTGCCGATTTCCCATTTTCTTCAGGAGGAAAGCACAGGGAGGCCCAGGAAGGCGCCGGATGATAGACGTCGTCAGATGCACGCTTTACAGAACGACTCAGAACTGTTTGTGTCAGTGGCTTGCATATGGACCTACAACGTATGCGGGAGCTTGTGATGTACCCCTTCGAGTTGCTATAACGAGTCTTGGCACAAGACCTACAAAACATTCTGAGCTGACCACTATCCAGACCCACCTGGGCGATTTCACTTGAACCCCCGCAGGCTTTTTTAGTTTGAACCCTGCGAAGTCTTGGAGGCAAGCACGACTTGGAACATACTGACTATCCCTCAATCTTAATTTGGACCTGCTCGCGTCTTTGGTTCAAAGTCGTCAAGGTGTTTTTCTTATGACAGAAGCTACTAGCACTCCTGCTGCTGCGATGATATTGCAATGGCAACAAGTCTCACTTTTTTGACAGCCGCCACACCACCACCACCACCACCACCACCACCACCACCACCACCACCACCACCACTGCCCCAGCTGTTGCGCCCGCCCTACATGACATGACCTGATGTTTGGCCCAGGATTTGGCAGAAGCAGTCCTCGATGTGGTTCCAGGCAGTCACTGGGCCAGGCAGTAAACATTTGGATGAGGGCCAGGCATGAGGGTTCCATGTTTTGAGCAACTATTATCATAGAGTTGCAGAAGCCCTTAGGACGTCAAATGCAGAAGGCCACCTACATCTGCTCACGACGGATGCATTACGAGATAGTATGAGCCTTCTGGAAGGCTTGCTGAGCGTTATGAAGGTTTTGCAGGTCTCTCCAGCGTAGCCTCATCATTTGAAGGGTGTTAAAATATTGGTGGAGGTTGGTATGCCTTGATGGTCTATTACGGAGTTTCAAGGATGCCCAGTGTTGTTGACAAAGTTTCCCTTTCTTGGTGGCGGCCTCTGCCAGGCGCGTTTCAAGAAGCCTATCCTTGAAATGCGCTTGACCAACGTAGTCGACAGAGCAAGTACTTCATGAAGGTTTGCGAAGCTACGATATTCATGTCTATTTCCGCGCTTAGTTGTGATAATTTGGTTTCGCAGCCATCGTCGAGAGGACCCGCAGCCCTGCCTCCAAATTCCGACAGGACGTTGATCATGAGATGTATGTGTTCCTTCAGCAGGCCTTTCTGATATGCCCTGGGCTAGAGAAAGCAATCAGCTCAGGTGACTGCCGAGACTGAGATCTTGGGCAATGTGCACTTCAATGGGCCTCGTGCAGGAATCAACTTCAACGATGGTTGCCTAGCAGCCCAAGAACGTGTCGCAATCGTGTTGTCTGGTGTCCACTTGGCGCTTGGAGAGTTTAGCATGCGCCGTGCAGTTACGCAGCGTCTGCATAGCACATTGGATGTTCATACAGTAGTGGGATCAAATCGTGGCTGCGACAGGAACTGAGTGCTCCGTGCAGCCCAGCCGGCATATCTACAGATTCCAAAGCTTGACTACATGTGATGACGGCCGGAAACCCCACTAGATGTTTACGGCCATTCTGTATCTTAGCAACTCTGGTCAAACACCCCTCTGGAACATGCCTCGAACCCTTTTTTGCGCCCAAGGTTTTGGCGGAGGCGATCTGATTGAGGGCAATGTTATTGGTAACTGCGTTCGCGAATCTGGGGACCATGGTCCTTACAACAGCTGCTCAGTATGCATGTTTTGAACACTTGAGAATCTTGCTCTGCAATTTTGGTCTCAAATAACACTAGACCTAAAAGGCCTAATCTGCTTCCATGTTTCTGAAAAAACAATTGTGAGATCAGGAGCCGCGCAGTTGTAGGAAAGTTCAGAATTTCGGTCTTCAAGTTTTGAGGCCCACGGCCGACACAAGTCCAAGTGGGCAAGTAGCACGCGCTATCTTCTTGAGCTCGCTGCGCGAAAAGGGTTGCTGGTTGGAGTTCAGCAGGTCAAAGGGCGGTCTGCCTCAAGAGACCAGTAAGGCTGGGATCGAGTTCCTTACATCACCACACTGCGCACTGGTCGTCCGTCCATCCTGCCCAAGACGAGGCACTTGACAAGAAATCTCTGGTTCGGCACGTACAGCACACAGGAAGGTGTGGACACTGATGATGGCTCATCTTACCTGCTTCAAGATTTCAACGTGTTTGCTTATGGCGCCAACGGCCTGAAGAATGACTTCGGTGGGCATGACAACCATCATCAGCACAATATGTACCTTTTCGTGGATGCCTGCTGGGGTGAGGGTTTTGCAGCAGGGCATCCTGATGGCACTGCCAACAACGATATCTTTGCCAGCAATCAGTGCTTGCTGAAAGTTGGTGGATGGTACGGGTCTGATTGCGGCAACAACCCAAAGGGCTTCCAGACACACAACAACAGCGTCTACACCTCAGAAACAAGGCTTGCCTTAGTTTGATTCACTTGGTCAAGCCCCGATCCATGCATTTGTCCTGTCATAGTCCGTGACTGTTGACCTCAGCGGAGAAGTCCTAACACATAGCGAGTATCCGGAGATTTTTCTTTCGATCGGTTCGCCAAGGCGCCACCGCTCTGCAAAATTTGCGTTCTCCCGACTTGTAAGTTGTAATTGATGTAACGGGGCAATCTGTAAACCGTTCTGTTGGGCGTGAGATAGGTTAGTGACAAGGATATAGTGAAAGCTACCGACTGCGAGGACGTCTAGTTGATGGGGACCGAATAATTCATTCCTTAGGATGGGACGCTGAAAGTGTGTGGCGGCAAAGATCTCAACGAGTACGTGAAGTCTGGGCATGATGCAGGCTGCTGGGTTAGGAGTCTAGGTCCCTGACCTTATGTTTGAGGGTCTAGGGTTCAGTGTTTGTACGGTTTAGCGCTATCCTTAGCTGGGACGCAAAGCCTGCCCGGGTCTAGACTAAAAATCATGGCAGGGGCATGTTTCTTTGAGGGCAACAGCTTGATAGTACGACCCTAGATTTGTCAAAGTAGCCTATGCATGGGATCCTTACTCTGCTATCAAGCGATAAGCGAGGACTTGCAAGTTGAAAGCAGCACAACACCTAACGCAATGAGGCCCAAGCAAGCGGACAGCAACTGCCTGCTTGATTTGTGAAATTGGAGGCGTAATGTCTGAAGCTTGTTGCGCAAGCCCGTAATTGAGTTTTTCCCAAGTCTACCTCCACACTGCCTTGGCAAGTTCTAAGCAAGGGTCCGCCTTTCGACCTAGAGGAGAATGAGCTGAATGGCACCTAAGGGCCTGGCTGTCTGGCTTCTTGGGTTCAAACCTTATCTTCCTGCGTTTCGACTAGTGATTGCTTTGTCGCCCGAACATCCTGCCCATGCAGGGAGCTACAGCAGAAGCCTGTAAGAAATCCCTTCAGTCCTCCCATGACCTAAATTATACTTTAATTTGCCCTATCTGAAAATATTTTTTCGCACTGCTGCACAGCAGGCCAAGGTACTTTTTCGATCAAGCTGTAAATAGGATTCTGAGTATACGCAGTGGAGAGCTTTTTTCGGGCAACCGCAACTGCAAATCTGTGTACAGCCAAGTACCTAGATCACCAAACCCGACCTTTCTTGCGTTAACCCCCTATATGTCTCCAGGTAGTGGTGCCTAGATCCAACATGGACCCCCTCCAAAGATCTACCATAGAGGCTTGGGAAACTGACATGAATGAAGGCTCTTCGGTTCGTCGCTGGCCTGCACCAGAAGAGTTACTTGGCTCAATTGCGGAGGGGCATGGGTGTGGTCCGAAGCCAGGAGACCTTACGCATGAAGTGTGGCTGTGTCAATTTTCGAACTGGTGGGGGACAGACTAGATTGATGTTATAGCAGGCTGTGGAATTAATGGTCCCTTGCTAGAGTCCCTTCCAGGCATGCAGGAAGAGCACAAGGCCCTTTTCGGCAGGTTCCTAAAAATGAGGCCGGCAATGTTTGGGATGTAGAACAGCTGTCTTTCGGCAAGTCCCTTGTGTTTAGATTTTCTCACGTTGCGGTCAAACTCCGGATCCTAGTCGACTCCGCCAAAAGAGGCACACCCTCATCAGATCCATCAAATGGGGCACCAATCTCAACATCAAAGACTCTGTCATATATCCCCTAACTTTGGACCCGAAACCATCAATTTTAAAAAGTGCTTGCCCCATGAATACCCCTATAGTGGTTTCCAATATCCCTGTTTAACCCCATATCAACTTATCCAATCCACAGTCTGTGCAAGCAAAACCCTCAACCCCAAACCCCAAACCAGGCTAAAAGCTTCAGCGTTGCAGCTTCTACGACATCAGGAGGGGGGGCCAGCATTTGGGATTTGCAGTTTCAAGGTGTGTTTAGGTCTTAGGGCCGTCTTAGGGTTTAGGATCCAAATAGTCCAGTGCAGAGAATATTTACAGACCTTAGGGCCCGATGTGTGTATTGTTTGTATACTTGGATCCCTAGGGTTTCAGCGTTTTTGTTCGAGGCAAGAATGCAGTGTCAGGTGAACCACGCTCAAATGAAGGGTTTTAGGGGTTTGAGGGTTCATGTGCGGGCTGCGGGTGCTACAAAGATGCCCATGAAGGTTTCGAAGAATTTGCTTTGGAGGGTGGTTGCTATATGATATAGTAGAGTATTATAAATGGCTGGCATCGTGTTTCCAATCTTTACCGCAGTGCGGCGCGATCGGGGGCATTCTATTAGGCAAAGCCACTGGCAATGTCAGATGGAAGTCTACGATGCCTGGGTTTAGGGTTTAGGGTTTAGGGTCGTAAGCAAGGTTAGGTTAAAGTGAAGCCAAAAGCGATCAGGGGGCCATGGTCCTGAGTTGATCGGACTGGGCTAGGTTCATACAAGAATACGAATCCTTATTGGCGACTTCTGGCATCCCCTTGGATAGTAATCCCAACAGCCCTCAACCCTATCTGGGGGGTTGCCCAAAATTAGTGTCACCTTTCTGGGGGTCCCCCGTAACAAGGACTATAGTATTTTGGCGTCAATATTGGGGTCCCCCCTATTTGAGAACGTAGCGTATGAGCACTAAGCGTGCCACGACCCCATCACTGTCCCTAAACCCTAAACCCCTAAACCCATCACTGTCATTTCTCCCTGCTCGAAGGCAGAGGCCCCTCAAACCGCCGTCATCTTTACCTGAGCGTGATTTGGGGGGTTCCCAAACTAGGGGGGTACCTTTTTAGTGTCCCCATAGTAAGGACTATAGTGCTTTGGGGTCTATATTGGGTCCCCTTGTTTAGGGAGATTTGAAATCCTGGTTTCTGGACCTTTGGAGCCTACATTTAGGGCTTAAGATTCAGAATCTACAGCCGAATTTCAGCTTAACTAGGGCCTTATAGGGTTCAGAGCATTTGCCAGTGCATGTGAAGCTCAAGAGTCGCAGATCCAGGTTACGAGGCAGCTGCTGCAACAGCGGCCTACATTCCCTCACTTACTGGTTCCTAGGGAACAAGGGACTATGATATGTAGTATTGGTTTAGGGTTTAGGGTTCCCTTATTCCCTACTAAGAACCAGCAAGCTCATCAATCATGGACCCCCACAAGCAGCTCTATCAGGAATACTCTGCTTGAAGTGTGCCCGCGTGTTGTTCCATGTTTGCTGGGGAGTGTAGATGTTCCGCCCACCTTTGCTGTTTCGGAAGTTAAACTAAGTTACTATAATGCGGAAGCCGTTTCATTTACTGTATTTTGGTAAGTTGAATAAAGTTCTGTGACAGCAACATTTCAAGGGGAGACAGGTGAATGCTGGTCTCGGCGCAGTAGGTTGAGAACCGAGAGCCCTGCTGGTGACTACTCGGGCCAGCTTTAGGCGGAGGTGTCTCAAAAGCAGAGCCCTAATGAGATATAGTCCAAACTCCTCAAAGGGAGTTTTAGATTCCCAAACACCTTGGTACCCTAGCAGTTAGGGATTTGTAAGCAGAGACTTTTATGCTCCCACAGGTGATGCAGAAGGCTCCCTGACACGCTCGATGTGCGAAGTAATCGAATTACCAAACCTTTCTGTTGAGCCTATAGCTTTTGTCTAAAGTAGTGATAGGAAGCTCAACAAAATCACATGGCACGTTCTGAGCCACTGCGCCCAGCATCTTGCTCGTTTGGAGCAGTAATTTTGTTTCCTCCTGTTTCCCCAGAGTGGCACATTTGATGTGCATGCGCTGGTGGGCCTTGGCATGCAAAAGAGCCACAGGGTGCAGCTCAACTGGTCTCGCTCGGGCAAGCTTCAGGAAGGCCATGTCTTGATGTTGCCACACTGGCCACGAACGTCCCTGCGCGGGCTTGTTCACAGGATTGCTCACATGCACGTACCCTAGGTAGGAATAGTCTCAAGTTATGACCCGGTGATGTCCGATGTTCCCTTAGTACCAGCATTCTAAATAACACTGATGTTCTGTAAGACAAGACCAACCTAGCAGCTTTGCAGATACTGGAAGGCGCGTTTGCCCATGTTCCTCTCAGGACGCCGCACTTGCAGACATCCTCAGAACTCTCGAGCTTTGCACACCCTAAGAAACAGTGATTGCATATGTTTAGGGTTTACGGTTCCGAAGGCCCCTCCTCATGTCGTCCGTGCTGGCACGCCGACTTCGTGCGCAGCTGGCAGAGGGAGTCAATCAAACAGTTCTCTTGGCCATGGGATTGTTTCATAATAGACAGCATCGGGGTCCTTTTTTGGGGTGGTATCGGCTTAGGGTTATAATACATGCAGCAAAACAAGGAAACTCCCGCATTGGTCAAGACAGCCAAGCCAGCCCTGTTTGCCTGTATATAGGTTACGGGTAGAATGGGACTTGTATCCGGACATGGAACAGATGCCTAGCGTATAGTCAGGTGGGATTCTAGAAGGAAGGAGCGCTGCGCTTGGCAAAGCGCTCCTGCGGATTTTTCGTGTTTTTTTGGCCGGTTTAGGGCTTGGGGGTTATGTTTTCTGCAGGGGTCTGTGGCAGATTTGCCTGAAGAGGGGGTGGATCGGGTTTGGGTGTGTTGGACACCTTGTCGGGTAGTGGTAAGAAATAAAGATGAGAAAAGTAGTAATCATGATAGTAATACTTCAGAGAGAAAGAGAGAGAGAGAGAGAGAGAGAGAGAGAGAGAGGGAGAGAGATAGAGAGAGAGAGAGAGAGATAGAGAGCCCAACACGGGCTGGGCATTGAAGCCCGGAGGTAGGAGTGATCCTGCCTCCATAGCCTGACAGAAAGAAAGAAAGAAAGAAAGAAAGAGATAGAGAGAGAGAGGGAATACTTCAAAAAATGAACATTGTATTTGGTAGCAACATTCGTCAATACGTTTCGCAACAGTAGCCCTAGGGATACAAGTAGCCCAATGTAGGTAATATTTACAGACTGTACGGCCTAATGCAGGTACGTACTACCTGTATACTTTGATCCCTAGGGTAACGGGTCTACGGGGCAAGCCAAGGTTGCCTGTATGTTGGAAAGACGCCTGAGTGGCGCAGTCGCAGGCTCGATGTCTGCACAGTGGAAGCAAGTAGTTGTGGACCGAAGCTTCAGGGTATGAGAAGAATCTACGCCCCTAACCCTAAACCGCGCAAGCCTAAACCCTCCCCAAATCCCAAACCCTAAACCCTAAACGAAGCTGTAGGGGAAGCCTCTTTCCCGCAGTGGTGAGTTGGGACAGGTGCCGTGAACAAGTACCGCATCCGTGACCTTCGCGATGGCGCTGGTTGAGGGGACCTGCAGGGCCTTGCAAAAGACAGCGCGATCAGAGTCTAGGATCGCTTTCGTCATGTAGCCCTCCTTAAGTAGATAGAATATGAGGTATATGGGGATCTTATTATAATGTGCCCAAAGCCATATTCTATGTACTTAAGGGGGACTCTAAGTGCATACTGCATATCTGCAAATAGTCCCTATTACCTATGCCATGAATGTAGGCTTTATAGAATCCCAACAGGACCTCCGCAATGCACCGTATGAGACCAGTACACCCCTGGAATTCCAAGCAAGGTCTGCTCTGAGAAATCCTCATTCGGATTAGGGCTTAGGGTTTGGGGTATAGGGCGTCTACCTGCGCAGGGCTGTGTATCCATGCGCCGATGGCGCCACCTCACTTCCAGGGATCTGTGGGTGGCGGCACATCCTGCGCCAAGCGAACCTCGTGGATGTTGCCTAGAAGCCATCGAAGCTGCGCTCTCTTCAAAATCCCCACCCGCTGTGAGAAATCACAGGCTGCCACCCAAACTACTGCCTGTTAGGGTTTAGGGCTACGCCCTCAATTCCCACCTTAAGATGCGACACCATAGTGGCAACAAGCACGCAGCCACGCAAAAAAAAAGCGCGGAGTTTCGGCGGCGCGCCCCGCCGCTACCCCACCTGATGCTTGAGAAAAGAGCCTGCAAACGAACACAAGTACAGCAGGATGCACCTCCTGAAACTGCTGGCCAAAGGAAGTCCCACAGCTTCACCCCACACAGCGTGCCCGAGTCGGAGTCTTTTTCCGAGAAATGTCAGTCTGAGTGTCACTGGCCTGAAAACGACAAGGGCGGGCCTGTGCTAGAACTGCGCGCCACAAGCGGTTCCTGGCCTTTTGAAACAGCACCCCTCAGTGGGGGCCTCGCTGGCAACCAACTTCAGGGAACCTCTGCTCTGTTAGCAATACTTGGATAACATCACATGCGAGGTTGTTGCAGGCAGGGCTCACGTTGCACTTGGCTACGAAGCTAAGAGACCTCTATGCTAAGACCACTCTCAGTGGAATCGAGCAGGTGTGAAGTGGTGGATGCCGGGGTCCCCCACAAAACGCCAGTTGGCATCGTACTCCACGCGGCTGAGGGCGACATAGGCCGCAGCCGGCATGTTGGCCACATCTAGCCACAGCGTGATGTGCTCCAGCGTGGCTCCCTGCACCTTGTGCAGTGTGCTTGCATAGCCAAGCCGGAGCGGAAAGTGCGCGATGCGGTCCTCGGAGGTCCAAGGGTGCACCGCCAAGCGGATGCCCTGATCCGTCTTGACAATGATGTTGCCGCCATCGATGCCGAGCACCACAGCGCCCATGCCATTGACGAAGCCAATGGACTTGTTGAGGTTCTTCGTGAGAAGAATGCGGGAGCCGCGGTAGATGGGCACCTCCACGGGGGCTTGGGCCACCATCTTGCCATGCTCGAAGTTGTTCACATTGCTCTCGGCGCAGGCACGCCGACTCACGGTCAAGAAGAGGGTGTGAGGGGTTTCCGCCAGGATGTTGGCCACGTCTTCCTGGCTCGGCTCCGCGTTCATGACGTAGCCCGCCCTCTGTCGAGACGGTGCCTTGTGGCCGGCCTTGATCTGCCGCAGCTGCTGCTGCGTGGGCTTGCCAACCCGCAAGAGCTCCCGGGTCTGCCTCCGCTTTGCGCACTTGCAGCGCAGCATAGTGTGCAGCTCTCGCTTCTTCACGAGGACACTGTGCCACAGAGGCGAGTCCAGGGCACTGGTCGGGTCGACCCCAGGCAGCTGGTAGAAGTTGCCGACGAAGACCAAGGTCGGAAGGCGCTCGGCGGCTTGCCACTGCTCCATATGCGCTCAAAGATCGCGCAGGACAGCTGGCCGACCTCCTCCACGACGATCAGATCGTAGGGCCACAGCACCTCGAGGGTTCTTGGGCCGGCTTGTGCACCAGGAAAGCGCCATGCACCGTGTCGACCTCCAGCTCTGGTAACCTCTCTCGCAGCGTGGCTGCCAGGCGGCCTGTAGGAGCCGTCAGAAGAATCCGACTTCCGGCCTGACTGACGCGACGAATGGCGGCATGCACCGCAGTCGTCTTGCCAGGACCAAGGACGGCAAAGGCCGATCGCGCCTCGCCCACACCGGCAAAGGGGGGAAGCCGCGTGGGCACCCGCCGGAGGACCCTCTTCATCTATGTCAGCAGCATCCTTGGACACCCAATCATCCTCAACCTTCCACGCGTTCTCCCGCTGCCGTTTCTGGTCCATGCCTTGCTGCACGGCCTCTACGAGCTCGTCCGCAATGCGCTGCTGCTTGCCGGACAAGTCCACATCAGTGTTGCCAGCGACTTCTTCGGCACCCTTGCTGCTGCCGCGCAGGTCCTCATTCTTGTCGAGCTCGCCAGACAGGTAGCGACGGATCAAGCCCTGCTTCGCAAAGAGCATGGCGAGGATGTTGCGCACATGGTGCTCTCTGGGGGCTTCCAGCTCGAGCTTGGCCCGAATGGCATCCTCACGCATCCAGTCAGCAGGGCGCAGAAGAAACGCCAGCGTCTGATAGTAGAGGTGCGGCAGCACCAGCTCCAGCTCCGGACGGTACAAGTCGTCCAGGGACTGAAAGGGCACGTTCATGAGGACCCACTGGCCATAGTAACAGTCATTGTACCGGGAGAGGTAGATGGCAGCCACAGCCACGTCGCCCGCGAGCAAAGCGCTGTTGGCCCAGGTCTCCAAGGACTCCATGGGCTCCTCGCCAGGAAGCTCCTGGGCCACGAACTGCTTGTACTTCTTACGCAAGGCCTGATGAATTCTTCCGGACCGGTTTGTCCTCCGCAGAAAGTCTGCCAGGGGCATGTCCACGGCGTGCCAGGTACTGTTGATGTACTGCTGCACGCGCTCGGGCAAGTCGCCCTCCCACGGCACAGGCGCGCGGAAGCGCTGCAAAGTACTCCCTGCAAAGCACTGCGGAAACCACTGCATGGCCAGCTGCAATGTCATCTCTGGTTCCAGCGGATGATAGTCCGTCAGCACGCGCCGGGCGACCGCATAGTCGCTGCACGCGTCTGCCAACCACTCCGTGGTGAAACTGTGGAGAACTTGGGAACGTAGCCGGAGACGTACCTCAGCAGCATGCCACGCCCATCTGACATCTGCACGTCGATGTGGCAGCGCGTGCTGGACAGCAGGTCCTTGACATACGGACTCCTTCGGGGACACCGACAGCATTGTAGTCCGACTCTGTGCGATGCAGCCGCAACACGCCTGCGGAGGCATCGTAGCATGATGCTCCGGGTTCCAGTGGCCATCCGCTGCCGGTCCAGGAGCGCTGCGAGCCTTCCACGAGAGAACTCATGACGAGATTGTCGGCCGGCACCGTGGCGGCCAGGCTCTCCTCCAACTTCACGGCCTTCGAGGTGCTGCAGCCAGACCAAGAGATGCAAGTGAACGGTGCCGCGACCGTGATAGAACTGCGAAGCAACCGTCCTGGTACTCCAAGCGCCCGAAGAAGTTGAGGACGGTCTTGCGGCCCGTGCCGTCCTTGGCGGCGAAGATGTGGCTCGTCCAGGGGGCTTCGTTGGCCTTTCCCCTGCCCAAGCGCTGGTTGTTGGCGCCCGTCAACAAGCCTTGCACTGCCTGAGCCAGGACGTGAGCTATGTGAAGCGTCTCAGCCACCGGCAAACGCAGCTTGCAGCGCTGCAGCTTCGTCATCTCATCCTCGACCCAGGAGTGGAAAGGAAAGCTCCATTCGTACGGAGCAATTGTAATAAAGAGGGTCGGAATAGCCCGCCATGGCCAGGCGCAATGGCGCTTCGGCCGTGTTGTTCTTGGCACCCAGCGCGCTCCACAACCAAAGATCATACACGAATTGGAAAAGGTCATAGTCAGCTCCGTAGCCCAGGACGGAGCCCAACACCTTGGCCAGATAGGCGGCCTTTGCAGAATTGCGGCCGGGCTTCGCAAAGTCCAGGGGTGCGGGAGCCTCTGCATCGTCCTTGAAAGCATCTTCTTCCTCCTCGCGGACATCCGCATCATCCTGGTCGGAGTCGGAGACGGCGTCATCGTCAGAAGCCGCCCCAGGCACCAGACAAGGCGCCGGCTGCAAATCACGGCGGTCTCTGCGCCGAACATCTGCCTTTCGAATGCAGGTCTCGCACATGTTGGTCCTCGGATAGAGAGGGGCCACACTGCGCATTCTAGGCCTTCTTCTTCGAGAGCTCGCCAGGGAAGCCGCAGCGCCCGATCGTCAGCCATCCCCGTCAGGCTTGCACGGTGTCGACGCAAGAAGCGCTCGTGCATCTGGGCGAAGTGGCCGTAGGAGCTGTCGGCAGAGTTCACGAGACGAGGTAGCGATAGGCGGCCTGCGCTGCGGCACGATCCTGCTCGTCCTCGAGTGATTCCAGCTGCGCTTCCACAGTCTGCGGCCGCCACCAGAAGCGGATCATGTCCGTGTGCACTCGGTAACCGTGCTTGGCGAAGACCGGCAGGCCAACATCTGGCTCGAGGGGACGCACCGCCCACAAGACGTCAAGCGAGATGTTCTGCAGCTCTTCCGGAATCATGTTTGCGGAGACCGTGGGGTACCCTGCACCTGACCGACAGTGATGGCACTTGCGCACGGTGTTCTTGCGCGGGCCTGTGCCAACTATGTCTCGCTGTTGAACCGGGCGCTGCTCCAGTCGAAGGCATTGCTCGCAAAGAAGCCAGGACGAGGAACGGCACCATTGCTCGAAGCGCTCAGCCGCGGGCGACCGCCAGTCTTTGTCGCCAGCATCCCTCGCCTGCATCATGGCGCCAAACTTTGCCCGGAGACGCCTGTCGTCGTCAGCCTTCTTGGCGAGGTAGACCGTCTCCGCATTGGGGGTCATGGGCAAGCCCAGGTTCACCCGGTGGTTGAGCAAGGTGTGCCAGCTCTGCCTTTCCACGGCGGCAGCTTTGCGCGCAGAGACAGCAGCTTTAGCGCGGGAAGGTCGCGCAAGAGCAGCGCGAAGAGCAGCGTGGTGAGACGCCGGCAAACGCTCCCAAGCCCTTGTCAGAACTGCAGCCTGGTCGGCGTCGGTCCAGACACGCAAGGCATGTGTCGCGCGCTTGCGACGCTGAGGTTCTGCAAGCACCTTCTGCAGACGCTCCGGGCTGCACCACACGCACGTCTTCTCGCCCTTCGGGAGAACTGCCGGCTGGCCAAGCGCGCTTTCTCGCAAGGAGAAACAGCACGCGTGACCCAATTGACCAGGGCAGAGCTCATGCGGCCGGATCTTTCGGGCAGCCCGTGCCTTTTGCTTTGGCCCGCCTTTGGCAGGCAGCGGCATGTCCGCGTTCTCAGCGGCCAACATGATGTCTCCCGACTCGTCCAGAATCTCTGGACGCCCAAGAACATCATCTGCCACAGCTTCCGCGTCGGCAGCCTCTGCAAGAATGTACTGCACGTGGAGGTCGGCCATGCCAGACAGAGCAGAAGTTGTTCGAGACGGGCAATGCAAGTCTGAGCTACAAGGGAGCTGCGGATGGAGAATGATCGCGCAAGCTTGATCAACGCTTCACAGGTTGCAGGCCCATGTTTCTGAGAGTCAACTGAAGAAGTGGCTATCACATCAAGAATGCTCGTCAAAATGCACGAGGCACAATCACAGGTGCTCTGAACGACGCCCTCTCGCCGTAAAGCCTTGGCGTAGGCCAAGCTCCACCGAGACTCTTTTTCGCTAGCTTTACGAGGCTCTATCATTTTTGCTTACCTGAAAGACTCTGTACCGGCAGGTGCACGAATTGGTGAAACGCCTTGCCCAACAAACAATATACAGCGGGAAGCAACAAGACTAACGTTGGGCATGCCCGGCCCCTGAGGGGCGAGGGGCCGAAGCCCCTCGTCCCCCCGAGTACCGGGGAGGCTAGGAGTTGAGTATTCCCGTCACACCGCTCCTGACCCGGCGGTTGGTGGGTCGTGTTCTAAATGACACCCGGCGATCAGCCCCCGAGCCGCTGCAACTGTGGCAGGACCCGGGCCGCGCCGTAGGGAGTCTCATGTGCGACAGGTGAACTCTCGCTCCTAACTTAATTGTTTTCAGAAAAACATGACATAAAGAACAAAATCAAGATTAACACCGGATGGGAATGGGCGGAAACCCATAGGTGGACGAAAAACCAGTGCACGGGCGAAACCAGATTTTGTAGAAAACATAGGCAAGGTGTCTATTTTTTCAAGGGTGCACGCTCCCGTGTACGCGCAAATCTCAGAAAAAGGCTTCTGTCGGAATTTCTCGCGTTCGCTTTTGGTGTCCGCCCACACGGGGCGAACTTTTCGGCCAACGCGCCGAGCGCATGAAATCACACACCTGTGCAGGATTTTAGCGGCCGCTTCGAGAAAAAAACGGGTGCGATTACTGGAAATGTGTAAGAAATGGTCGTGTCAGGGTGTTCCGGGAAGTCACGGTGTTGCCCGGGACATGTGTCCCCCAGACCCCCCGAGACACCGAACACCCGAAACACCGTGGGACGCCCCGACATTCCGGGACAGCCCGGGACGCCAGACCCCTCCCGCATACTCCAGGCAAGACCTCCATTAGTTTCAGGGTTTTCAGAACCTCCATCCAGAGGCCTTAGAGGCCTTCAGCAAAGGGCCTCCAGGGGGTTTCAGGGGCCTCCAAGGGGCCTCCAGGGGCCTTCAGGAGGTTTGCTGCGGCTAGGGGCCAGGACCCCCCCCAAAAAACCCCTTGTAGGGGTCACACTGAAAATGGGGTGTGACGGCCGAGCTTGGACGGCGGGTTTAGGGTATTCCCATCAAGGGGAAAATCAATGTACATTGTATATATTTGGCCTGGAGGCAGGGCTGTGCCTCCCGATGTGCGGGAAGAGCCCGGAGGGGCTCTATACGTCCATTC